ATAATATCAGATACAGTAATTAATGAATAAAAAGGGATAGGTATTTTGGACTTCCAATGTAATAGGGAATTTTCAAGCGTTTTCAGAAACTGTGAGAATGGCAAAGCAAAGCCTGGTACCCCCTTCCCCCTTCACCTGAACAGTCAAAATTTCAATTATGTAATCGAAAATGCCCTTCAGAATTACTCATTGACGACTGTAGAAAAAACAACGTTAAAAAAAAACACCCCCCTGAAAATCCGAAGTTTTCAAAAATGTTTGCAATTTTTGGCTCTGAGGGCTCATTTTAGGCCCCCAAAATTTACCATATGGTTAAAATTGGTAGTTTAAGTAATCGGAGGCTTAAAATATGCATGTTTAAGAAACTTGGGCATAATACCCAGGAAGAAAACAAGTTTTTAAATAATATGACGGGCCTTGTTATGGGTAATTTGGCTATTTTAGCCCAAAAATACCTTTAAATCGACTTTATTTTCCAGGAGCTCGACAGAATTTTTTTCTTTTTGGCTTAAATGACTCAGTAGACACTCTACTTCAAGAATCTGAAGAGTTTTTGCTTGTGACTCGTCAAAAAATTTAAAGTCGTTAAGACTAGCTGTGCCAGGCTTGTATGAGTATGCAGGAAACAAATTTTAACTTTGATAGAGCAATTCGGGCCATTTTTTACAATCAGCCACAACCATTCATTTTTTCTTTCTTACTATTGAATTTGAAAAATATCAAAGTTCATCCTAAAACCCTCTGCGTTTTTCATGGTTTCTCCTAGTTGACTTATGTTCCTGTGTTTTGATCTAAACTAGAACTAGATATTAGAAATGGTTTACGGTGAAAATTTGCTTTGTTACTCATCTACACAAAAAATGTAGTTATTTAGTTGAAGTTTAGAGACATGAAATTGACAAGCATCTACAGTATTAGTAAAAACAATAATTGTTTTTTTTTTATCCATTATGAACAAAAGATTAGCCAAGTAATGTTTCCTGAAATGAGAAAATCTGCTACTTTCATAGGGTTATAGGATAAATAAGGAGGGTATAAGAGAGAATCCTTGGGTTTTATTTCAAAAAAATGTTTCTTTGACCAGAAATTGGAGGAATGTACCTTCGTCGTTGGAAACTTCTTGTAACTGTTTGGCAATGCTGTTATCATCTTTGGCTGCTTTCTTAACATTATTCCTCAAGGACTCGACTGCACGTAGATGCGCTTTGAATTGCGCATGCAGTTCCTGAACACGGGCATCTTGGAGCTCGGCACGGGTTTTTATCTGCCTTGATTCCTCTTCGGCTGCTTTTGCTTTCTCCAAGAGTGATTCTTCTTTGCGTTCTGGCAGAACCTATGCAAAAGAAAAGAAAAGAAAAAGAAAGAAAGAAAAAAAAAATGGTAAAAGAGGGCAGTCTTCATTAGCAAGATAAGTGGGAGTGTACTTAAAACTAAATTTTATAATAAACAAGATCAGCTAAGCATTTTTGTGGAACTGGGATACAACACACAATTTTAGTTGAAAGACAATAACACCCTGGGTATAATCTCCTGCCGTATTGCACAATATTTTAAGTGATTTTTTGTTTAAGTGATGCAATTTTGCTAGTTTTATTCACTGTGCAAGGTAAGAGGTTGATAAGTTGATTTTGCTTAATTGTTTTGAGAGACATTTCAAAATAATTTGAACTAACATATAAAAATACAAATGTTGTTATTCATAGTAATCTAACTTCCATTTAATTATTGATTATCTTTGTCAATATATCAATCAGAAGTTCCAAACTTCCAAACTTCTTGTAGTAAAGTCATTTTGCTTGAACGATTTTGGAGAGAAAAAATATAACATTTTCCTCTAAGTAGGGCCTTCTTTAGTGGCCCAATAAAAAACCAAATTCATCGCTAACAAAGCACTATATATTCATCAAAATGCCTTGTGAAGATAGTACTACGCTACATAAATAGGAAATGAAACTTGAGTAAGAAATGATTAAATTTAAAGCAGACTCACTTGATTAAAAGCCTCCGTGGCCGCTAAGCTGGCATTGACAGCCGCCTCTCGAGCGCTTTTCAAAGCATCGATGATACTTTGATAAGCTTTGCTTGCGCGTAATGCATAGTCCGACTTTTGCCGCGTGAACTGGAAAAGACTGTTGGAAATTCAAAGATACACTTCAACATTGGATCAAATGGATAAAAATTGATAGAATAAGTGTAATTTGTGACTTCTGTTGTAAAACCCTATCAATAGAAAGTATTCATGAAGGAATACAGAGCAATTGGTTTAAAAAAAAAAAAAAGGAAAATATTAAAAAGACCTAAAGGTTGTAAAATAAATTTGAAAAAGACATTGAAGTACGGCTTTTAATTTCAGATCTCCAAGACTCAAAGCTCTGTTTTTACCATTTAAATTTTTTACTTCAAATAAATCATCATATTTTTTTAACAAAAGAACATCCAGAGCGTCCAGAAAAATGTATGTTCAAGGAAATGCTCTAGGAAAAGCATTTCCTTGAGCATTCATACAATTTTTTGGCTAATTTTCTTTTAAAATGACAAAATATCCAAGATAGTTTTGAAACTTTGTAAAACAATTCCTCTTGTCTTATATAGACCTATATCTAAGAAAAACACTCAATTTTTATCAATCCACTGTTTTAATCAAAGGCTATGCTGTATTCTTCTTAAAGAAAATAAAAAAAAAAAAAAAGTTTGATACCTTTGCAAAAATCTGTAATCTATATTGATACAATCAATGAGTTTGTACAATAGGATGAAAAAACATCAGAGCGCAGAGACCTAGAAACTTACTCATCATAACTGCGAGCCGATTCTAGTAAACCATCTGCATGTTTTTGGGCGGGAATAACGTAGACCTCTTTGTAAAGTGGATTCAGATTTGACAGACTGGCTTCTTTCTCCGATGCTTGTCTCGTAAGATTCTTCAGATACTCTCCGACATCTTTCAATTCCTGTTTTAGAATTATTTCAAAGCAAACATTACTTTTCCTGTTGAAAGTTGAGAGGGTGCCTTCACTGAAAAAATAACTATACGTGATTTTCCAAATTGAAAATTCTTTGGGAATTTTTCGAACCATTTCAATAAATTTGATGAAAAAAGTTTGCAAAAATGTAATGATTGATGTGATCAAAAAATTTGAAACGTTTATTATGAAATTTTGGCCCACTGTTCAAGAAAATTTGGTGAGTTTTCCAATAATATTTGGCAAATCTTTTGTAAAATTGTGCATTTTACACAAAAAAATCATACAACATTGACAATCGTTTTGATACATGACCAGATGTTTTCCTTAAACAGCATTTTGATAAATTGGTAACTTTTAATAACTTTAATCTACCTTGATCAAATTGAGCAAAATTACAAACAAGATGAAGTGCAACCAAATATTTGATCTTGATACAAAGTAAAATTCAACATTAATGCAAATCCCGAGCTTGTGAAGGAATTGATGAACAATATTAACAGAAGAATAAACAAGAGAAGAGATGACAAACAAAAGAGAACATTTTGGTTAGTCAGTTTTATAAAAAAAAAAAAATTTTGTCACATCTTGCCTTGGCAAAAACTACTACTACGACTACTACTACTACAACTACTACTACTACTACTACTACTACTGCTACTACTACTACTACAACTACTACTAGCGTACTACTGCTAGTCTCGATACTACTAAAATAGTGGCAAACGTAAGATATACAACTAACCTCAACGTTTGATTGAAATTCCTCAAAACGATTTTCAATCACATCCATTTGTTGTAGAGTTGTATTCAAAGTCTCATCAGTTTCGCTTTCGATGGAGACGATTTCATTTGAAACTTCGTCCAGCCGCAATGCTACCTCTTTGTTACTTTCTGTTGTGTGCCTAACCTGAACACAAAAATAAATGTATGAAAAATGAAACAGAAGTCAAGTACTTGCATACTTGAAACCCATATCATTTAGGAGCCAAAAGAACTTAATTGCATTGTGATGCAGTTGTTGCCTACAGAATTTTTGTAGAAAAAATTTCTGACCACGATTTTGTTTTGACCCTTTGGGCCAATTTTACAAATTCGATAAAGATACTGCTAATAGGTCGCTCTTATAGCGCTTCTGTGCGCTCTACGACACCCAGCCTCCACTAACAGCGATCTGGCCAGAGCTCCTCCGGCAAATCGCACCTCCTCATTTCCTGCCTTATTCCCTCAATCCACGATTTGGCACCTGGGACGATGCTAGAAGCTGATCATGGTACAAGGATTAAGTTACAATTCAGTATAGAGCCATTAATATGTTATGAAATTATCTTTATTTATTTATTAATAGTAAATATGATCCAGGCAGTTCATAAATGTGACCACCCACAGGAAAAGAAACTTTGATGCAGTGAGGTAAAATTTTCAGATGAGCGATTCTTGTCAAGTGGAGTTGAAAAATTGGGTTTTCAGATTTTGAAAAAAATGTTCTCCCATATCCTGAAAACTGAAATACATATAAGCGGTTTTTTTTTTTTTTTTACTGAGAGAAATTGCACTGGAATCAGACAATTTGGTGCCCTGAATAAGGTAAATTAGAATTTTAAACAGTCTTTTTTTTTTTTTTTTTTTTTTTTTTTTAAAACAATGTTTTTTGAGCCCTAAACTTCAAACCACTGTAATTTGGTTACACAGATTGAAGTATTCTTGCATCAAATACTGGTGCATGATTATAGTAATAATTTATTTTGTGTCTGATTAAAATGTCATAAAATTTGTATGCTTTTGAAAAATGTCAAAAGAATAAAGACGCACCTTTTCTAAATTGCCCATTATGTTGAGAACATTTTTGTCCAGATCTCTGATTTTTTCAAGGACTGTATCCAGCCTCTTTTGAAGGTTATCCAAATCGTTATGATTACTCGACTCTTCAACATCATCAAGTAGTGCTTTGCAACCCCTTGGAGGAATGAAAATGAAAAATAAAAACAAAAAATGAAATTCAAGAGAGTAAAGTATTCCACAATAAATCAAAAAGAACCTCTCTTCAATTCTACTTCAGGAAATGAGCTATAATACTGGCAATGAAATCAAATTCTTGAATTTTATGTTGATTTTTTACTTGTCAGAACAGATGAAAGTGAAAGATCTGGGAAAAAGGGGGGAAAAATTAAATGAGATGATTAAGTTGCAGCCTTGAGAGGATATTCTTCTGGACAAAAAAAAAAACACCTAAGTCCAAAAATTGACCCTTTGAAACCATTTCAAAGTTGAAGATGGATAAATTGAAACCCGAATTAGAGGTAAACACAAATAACGTTTGACAGCTAGCAAAATGCTTATTTCAAAATGTTAAAACATCACTAACGATGCAAACATTAGTATCATGTATTTTATTCAAGATTAGTTTTTTTTGCTGTGCCAACAAATTTTAACTTACTTTAGGGGTACTAAAGTAGGAGGTTAAACTTTACTTTAAGGGTTATACGCCTTACTCCATGACAAGTACTAGTGTCTTTTCACCAGGGCTTTAACAATGTTCTTCTTCGCAAGAGAGTTTATGCATGCTTTGATGGCAAATTTTCTTCCGTAAAGAAGAAAAGAAAATTCATAGAATTCAAAGAATGGAATTTCAAAGCACCTACAGTGCTTTCATACGTTGCTAAGCTTCAGAGAGTGTCTCTATCAATCTAAAAGAATTCAAAGGCTAGATAGTCGTGATTTTTGACCTAAAATCAAGGTCTGAATTCAGAAAAAATTTCCAAATTAATAACTCATGAATGGAAACCAGGTATCTCCTTTTGCAGTGATGGAGAATGTATACAATATTGGGGAAACCTGAAGGAAAATTGGATATTTTGAATTTTTACTCTCCATTTCTCATTTAATCAGCGACTGAGGGGACAACTCAGATTTGAAGAGAAAAAAACCAGGAATTACGTTAATGGAGGAAAAAAGAAAAATTGACGGGAAAAAAAATCTATACTCACTCGGAGACATTGATGACATTGATTGTGATTGGTTCAAAATCGAAATCTCTGATTTGATTGAACAGCAATTTTGCTTCGGACAGGGCAGCTCCGGTATTTACATCCTCACTTTCTTCAGTTTTTCCATAGCTTTTCAATGAATAAACGATTTCTGAAGGAAGAAACGGAGACTATTTATTTAGAGCTTTCAATCCGATGCAAATTGAAGAAATGAATTTTATTATTTTCATGATTTTATTTTTCAATGAACGCACACTTTTTAGTTTGCAAATTCTGCAAGAAATTGGAGACACCTACAAGGCGTTTACAGTGACAATAAACTTACTGCAATAAGAAAAAACACTAATTTTGATGATATTTAGACAAGCCAAAAAAAAAAAAAAAGAGCATATATTACCGCTTCCAGAGAGTGCATTTAGCAACTTTCATCAAGCAGAGTTCAAGAATTATTGTCTTACCAAAAATTTCACGTTCTAGGATTTTCGCAGCTAGCAATTCTGTCTCAGCATCTGCTCGGAGAAGATAAGCATCCGTGGAAGCATTCAAACTGTTTTTCTCTATCTTTTTCACCTGAAAAAATACGTAAAAAGACTAAATAACTAAAACTGGGCAACATCAAAGCAGGTTTTAACCACATAAAAACGAAAATTAGGCAATGCATTACACTACTGCATTACAGGCATTCCAAACTTAAATAAACCAGAACATAAAACTATTTTTATTTTTTCCTAGGGTGCAAGCTCTATAATAAAAGGGAAAAATCATGTACCATTTATGAACACAAAATTTGAGAAAATCATGTTTTATCAAATACATCTGAGTAGGTAACTAACAGTAAAATGGCCATGTTTGTTGCCCATCGTGGGTTGCAAAATTTGCAGCATTTTTTAACATGCTTTCTTTAAATAATGGCTTCGAAAAGAACACGATTTCAGCGGATCCACTGAAAGTCATTGTATTAAGTTTCTTCAGTATAATAACTTGCAGTCTGAACTGAACAAGGTGAAATTCATTCTTGAAATTTTTTTTTCAAGAGGCTGGAACAGTATAAAATTAGAGAAATAAGTGCCTTAATGATTTTCACAGTTCATGCCTTTGAAGTGACTCAATGCAAATAAGAAATACCTTAGTGAGAGCATGCTTGGATTTCTTCTTGATAACATCATCGATGTCCTCCAAGAGTAAATTCAGCTTGCGATTGGTGCTGGAGAAAACTTGTGCTACGCTTTCGAGTTCCGTCAGGTTTGATTCGAACACCATGAGCCTTGGCCAAGGAGCAGCGATTGTGCCATCAGAGACGGTGATGGATGCTTCTCTGAGAGTGCCTTCCAGATCTTCCAATTTGTCCAACAATAAATCAGTGCAGCCATCTTCGCAAGCTGTTCCAAGGTAAAAAGAAATACTAAGTTACAGGGGAAAAAAACAAACTTCAAAATCAAAAAATAAATTGGTAAAAATGACCCGTTAATGGCATATTAACTTAAAAATGGAGATTATACACTTACACAGCAATGAACTTCCTTGAGGTGCACAATAAGAAAGCAACATCAATGTGAAGATCCTTTTACAAATTATCTTTCACCCAGAGTGACAAAAATGAAAGTTTTAACCTTTCTAAGAAAACACATAGGAATTGTTCTTGGGCAGTTTTGATTCTCAAATAATTTTATGCAGTTTTACATGGATATTACTGGCTCTATCATACTCGATTCTAGCCCCTAAATGTTGTTCGATCAGTGTGCTCTAAACATGGAGAATAACCGCGTAAAATATATTTTCATTTCCATAAAATTATCACAAAATTTCAAGAGTGTAAAACTGTGAGAGGTATACGGAATTAAAGTTTAAAGGAACCTCGCTTTTTCGCAGTTTCCGCACGGATAAATTGCACAAAATCAGCAATGATGAAGTGACAATTTCGCAGCAATTTCTTCTAAGATATCACCCCAAAAATCATAACGTATGGTTTGAGCAAGGATTTAATGGCGACTTTGCGATAGCAAGGGCAATGTAAAGCAACTTTTGTTTCTGATAGTACATTTTCATCCGTTTTATCAGAATTATTTACTTATCAACTCACACCTTATTGCAAACATTCCAACTTGGAAATCTGCGCGGTCAGGTAGAATGAATGGATCCAATATTGTGCAATGTGTTATAAAAAAAAGCTCATTATCTGTAAGAAAATGAGTAGTAAAAATAAAACATTAAAGACACTCGACAGGGATTTACCTACACATCCTTTGTTTGAGAGGGTATGGCGAGGTGGACAAACGGAACAGTCCCTTCCGGTTATGCCCAGTTTACAGTTGCACTGGCCGCTCAACTCATGACATTCATCGCTCACACTCCCGTGAGGGTTGCACTCGCACATCCTACATGATCCGTTTATCTTCTGTGGAAACCCAAACCACCCGTAACTGCACCTGTAATAGCAGTTCATGAATGAATTAAAAATGAAAGCACATTTTCAGGAAAAAGAAAAATTGTTAAAGGCAAAAAAATATATCAATAAAAAGAGAGACAACAACTCAGTATGAGTAACAGGTTTCATACTGTTTTACCATTTTTTGTTGCTCTTCTTGCGCAATGCAACTACCCACAAGGAAAAAAGATATCAGCACTGAGAAACTAAAAATTAAGATATTGGTGCTGCTGGTTAGAGCATTGTTCCATAAATTTTGTGCTGCAAATAACGCAAGAAGTATCAAACAAAATAGAGTTTATGGCACTTTGAAATTTACAATTCAAGAAACATAGATCTGAGGAAAGACGATCTTAACTTTTAATCTATGGTGGTTTAGTTTCAAAGTTGTCACATTAAACTACAAATTAAAGCTTTATGAAAAAAAAACTTTCGTCAGCAATGCAAAAAGTTCTTTGAAGCAATAACTGGCCGCAGTCAGCCTTAAAATTCTTTCACTTTACGAGAAGGTCAAACGAACAAATTATGTCAAACAATTTTGATAGTGAGTGCAGTAAGTGTGCTATATCTCTAAGGAAGAGGAAAATCACGTGTACTATGGAAAATTTCAAGGCGTAATGTAACATAGTTTTTCTGTGAAAAGAAAAAAAGTCAGGTTTTTTTTTGTGAAAGGAAAAAAAAAAGGGACGTCGGGAGCCAAGCAGCTTAGAATGAAGTTACGCTACTTTAAATTCGTGTAGTTTTCGTTTCAAGTGAGACAAAAGATACTTACCTATCACACACTTTGCCGGTGTAGCCAGGCTTGCATGTGCAAATGGTTTCTTGACCGGGAAAAACTTGACAGCTCTGAGCAAAATTACGATCGGTATAAGGGCAAGGGCACGGTTTGCATGGACCCAAGATGGGGTCGCCGTAATATCCTTCGGCACAATACTCGCAATTCTCTCCACCTGTGTTCTCAGAACAATTCTGCAGAGAAAAACATGTTGGTATTGAAATTGTAGAGGAACATACATTTTTGGGGTAAAGGACTTTATGGTAAAAAAAATTCTTGCTAATTTCCAGAAGGGTCTTTTCATAGGGAATATTTTGTCAACAAGAGACTAGTCATAGGATAAGAGGCCTTAGCATTATTCCACAGAGGCAAAATCTTTTGTGTACCGGTTTCTATGAGGTTAGGTAAAAAAATCGGATTTTGAGATCCAAGGAACACTCACTTTAGTCTAGTGTTCTAAACCCTGAGTTTTAAGCAGTTTAAGTCACTTTTGAGCCAAGGTCAAAGAAAAGACATAAAATCGTATTAAAACATAGCTATTTTGAACTTGAACACTGCAGATTAGAATTTTAAACAGCTTTTTCTGTTTAAAAATTTTCTTGAACTGCAAACCACCATAACCTCAGTTTGGATTGAAATTTGTCACTGTTCTTTCCCTAAAATGTTCTTAGAATACTTATCTATGCTTAAATTCTAAAAACTCAAAGAGCTCAACTTGTAGATTAAAATCTCCTTTCCCAATGATGGCTACATATTGATGGCTGGACGCAAAAATGTGTATCTTCCAGTACGACTTTGTAAATTGCCACTCAAATATAATATTTTTCAAAGGAAACCAATGAGTAGATTTTCAAAAAAATGTCTGTGAATTTTCTTCATTCATTCAAAATATGGAAGGAAAATTTCAAGGAGGCATTTTGGCCAGTGTTTTTTCAAAAAAATGAAACATAATCAAAGACATTGAAACATTTCAATAGATGCATATAAACGCATTACAATGAATGCATTTTTTTTACTGTAGCCATTGGTATGTGGATTGAAGAATAGTATCACTTCTCTTCTCGCTCTAGACAATATATGCTACATCTATGAAAATTTTGTCAGGCTGGTGTTTAGTAAAAGTAGAGGATTTTAAAAACATTTGTGCAAGAAGGATTATCTTTGACATTACTTAGAATGTGGCATATTTGGTCAAAAAGTTCCAGAAAAAAAGAAAGTAAAAAATTGCTGTGTTACTCAACTTTCCAGCCAGCAGGATTGAGTTAAGATTGTAACATTTCAAAACTACTTGCGTCAAGCAAATGAAAAAATACAACCGCGTTAGTAAGCTTTTTCATTTTCAAGGTTAGGTCAAGCATTATGCTACTTTGTCTACAGTTTATTTGCGCAACTTTTCAGGCTTCTTGGAGCCTGTTTTGTAGCATAAATATATGCAAATATGATAAACCAAAATAACAAGCTCCTTAAATCAAGATTTCCATGTTGCTCTTTTTTCCTGACAGTTGCAGATTACTAAGAACCCTGGAAAATATGAAGAATTGGGAATCTTATAACATTCTTGTTTGTTAAGCAGAGAAATCTCAAATAAATTAGTAATTTACCAGGCAGTGGCCAGTTTCAATGTCGCAAACATTTGAACGGCCATTACATTCACACGGAGCTGCTTCCCCGATGACCTGGATGATAACAGTGGAGCCAACACTGTTTTTGTTGTAGTGACGGTAGAAGCCGATGCTTGGGTTCTGACACGACGTGGAATTATATTGATGAGGGCACTCGCACAGCTCAACGCCGACTGCATTGGAAACGACCGAGCCTTTTGCTTCAGTGGCTTTGTCTAATGATACATCTCTTAATCTATGTATTAGCGAACAAAAAAAAAAAAAAAAAAAAAAAAAAAAAAAACTGTTAAAATTTGATGAGTTCAGTGTAAAATGTATATAACAGAAAATTTACGGATGCAGATAGTTCCTAGCCTTCCAATTTTTCGGATTGGCTTTCCTATCTTAAAAACTTACTTGTCCCCAAAATTTTCAGCTTGATTGCTTCTTCTTCTTCTTCTTCTTCTCTTTACTTGTTTTTATCAAACTGCACGTAATCGCATGGTCGAAAAATTTTTGCAGCCCTAAAAATATTCTCTAACCCATTATCTTAACGAAGAAAACTTCAAGACTTCTGACATCTTTCGTCTGTATTGAAAAAGCTAAAGAAAAAAGAACACCAAGTTCCTTCAAAATCAGATACTTACCAGATCTAGATACCTAAAACAACTGCCAAATTTAATATTTGAGGATTATTGAATCCGGTGAAATCAAATTTGATTTAGAATTTAAACTACTTTTGAGTCAAGGAGGGCTGAGCAAAGATGGCTGCTGCAATTTGTGCCATCAGTTTTCATAAATATTTTATAAGAGACTAGCTTTCTGAGGGTTTTGGGTAGAGGCAGATTTACTGATAATTTTTCACTACTTTCAAATTTCACGTGTTTCGTGTTCTAGCATTACTGTGCAGGTCTACAAAAATTGTTTTTAAAAAACGCAAAGGTTTTATACTTACAAAGCTTTCTTAAAATCGACTGAGTCGGTAGCCCGAATGAGAATATGCTGTAAATTCTGCAAGGTTAACATCAATGTTTCTCTATTAATTTTCTCTGTTGGATTATTCTTCACATGCCACAACGATTCATGAAGCCTTCAGAGAAAAAAACAAAAAAATATCTCATTGATTGAAAACAGGTTCCATACTTCAATACTTTGATTTAAAAATTATTAAAATAATAGGAAGAACTAATAAGTTCCTTTTTTGTAAAATATGATTCAACAGCAACCCAAAGAGCGTGTGCAGAAATGAGCAACCCCGCCCCCCCAACGGATATGAATTTTTATTTGTGAATCACTCATGCTCTGGTCCTAATTTTTCAACATTTTTGGGCATCAAAAAACTTTGAGGGAGACAGAGGTAGGGTATTCAGGTCGGAACCTTTGCATCCCCATACTTTCTTTACAACTGAAGATCCAAATTTCACTATAAACTGTCCAAAATTGCCTAATTGGAGATTATTGAGGGAAAAATGCCAAACTTTATTTTTAAGGCTATTTTGTGCATTTTTCAGTTTTTGTTTGAGAGGAAATGAATTTAAAACAAAAATATCAATTTTGATCGGAACTAAATCGCCTTTTGAATTTGTCATCTTATTCCGCTTTTAACGAAAGGGTTGTGAATTCTAGGGAAACAAACAGTTCGAATGTCATGAAGAATCAGAGTCAAAAAATGTGAAAACTGAATTAAAGTTGCTGAAAAATGAGCGGACTTGACCTCTCTTCTCTGCTTCCCCCATGCAGACAGTGAATTCAGCTCAGACACTTGGAACTCAGCAATTATTGCGCTATTTTCGTTTTTTGTCAACTTTAATCCTCCATAACTCCTAAAGCATGCATGTTTCTAGAATGCTCTGGTATAATTGACTCGATTTTCAATTTTGTGAATTCACGTCCCTTTTCCTATTGATGGTCACAATTGAAAATGGAGATTTACCGAACTTCATAGCGGTTTGAGGGATTCGGCAAAGCGGGAAAGTGTTCAAGAACAATCTTTCCATTGCCTTGTATCTGGATGAGCGGGTACGACGACAGCACTCCAGGCGGTAAGAGAGTGTTACCTCCCTCCGTTTCCACTGCAAAGCGCAGGTAGCCACCATATGATAACACCTGAAAATATAAAGAAACTTTAGAAAAAAATGGAAGACTGAGTCATAATTTTTTGCATACAATTAATTCATTAAGATCAAGTAGAGCAGGCAAGACAGCCACAAGACCCTCATACAAAGAGGGGAAAATATTAATAGCGATGTTTTTGTTGAGTATGTTTAGAGAATCAGACTTTAATTTTTTACAGGAAAACATTTTCTGAAGCTATGGTTTATGCAGCTTCAAAAATAAAAAATCAAGCGCTTTCATGAAAAATTTCAGGCACTTTTTGAGACCTTTTCAATTATTTCTGCTATTGTTTTCATTTTCTATCTGCATCTTGATTTTTCATTACGAGAATTTTGTCTTTTTTATTTCCTGCAGCTCCTTTTCATCTTCAAACCAGGATGACTTATCTTGGTCAAATTATGTCTTGATCGTATTAAACGTATTTAGGCAAAGAGTTCAGAAATCAGCAGATTTCTTGCTAAAAATTTACAAGTGAATTTCAGATCTCTCAGATGTGATTATCACAGTTTTTGAGCTATTGCCCCTATGAATTAACTCTCTTTTCTGCACTCAAGAAAAATTTTGCGTCAGATTTATTGCAATGTTTCAAATTCAAGTTGAACTTATTTTTTGGAGGAAAGGCAGATTAACAATACAGCCACATACTTTTGAATAATGACCATATGGAATAGTAAAAAAAATTTGGAAGCAAAATACATTAAAAAAAAGAAGTAAAAAAGTAGTTTAGGAGGTCAATTTGGAGTAATCTTTTTGGAGAGTCTCAAGTCAAAAAGTAGGTTCGTCATGTTTGTAAAAATTAAAACATGCACATTCATTTTTTAGTATTGCATTTACAAACACAAAATTTTGGTCAAGATTATAAATTAGTTCCTCTCAGGTTATTCCCTATTTATTGCTAGACAAATTAAAATGGCCTACCTTGTCTCCAAGGAAACTGGCTGGTAGCTGCCAGTAGACAGGAGTGTCAAACAGAAAGCTCACTCCGATTTGCACATCACCTAAATCGCCAGGGATTATTCGCAGATTGTTTGTTACATTTAAACCTTCGCTGTTGAGGCTCATCTCTCCACCACCCGGAACTGCCAGCTGGAAAAACAACAAAAAATATCAATGAATGATTTCTTACTAAGTACGGATGCAGAGTTGCGTAAGTGTTTACTCAACAATCTTTGTACCCCAAGACATGTCTTTTCAAAATAATTTAATGCGGAGGATATTTCTTGGCAAACTGATTTAAAACAAAATGAATTGATTCAAAGAGGATTATTGTCAGCAGTACGTGTGCCATTAGAGTCTTGTGAACTCCAATATTTTACAGGGTTTTTTTTTCTTGTTATTTTATTACAGTAAACATAAATTTGGCATGGATTTGTACGCAAATTAAGATTGGCACTGAGCATATAGGTAAATATCTTCCTACTATAAAAAATCTCCCAATTTTGGTGTAAAAAAGAAAATAAGGCACGGAGCAAAAAATTGAAAAAATAAACAATTAAAGAACCAAACAACAACCAAAAGAACCAACAGAACCAAAAATGTGAAGATTGCTTTGAAAAAGTAAGAGCGAAAAAATTTCTAAAAATGCAACAAAAAACAAGTAAGGTTTCATTCCTTTACTCATTCTAACAGTTAATACTTATTTTTACAATGGTAAATCATTTACTTTAAGAGAAATTACTACATAGTGTAGAGGGCCTAATAAGTTGATTTCATTAATTTTTGATATATCACAGTTACTTAACTTGGAGTTCAAAAATTTCAGACTATTCTCAATCATTTGAGTTTTTCAGCCTCATACAAAATTAAAAGCCCATATACAGATAAAATACAAAAGTGCAAAAGTTACTTCAAGATTTTCTTTGTACTCTTTTTTTTCCGTCTAGTTTATTTTTCATTAGGACATCATTTTTGAATAAAAAGACATTTTATTTCTTCATAAATTGATTGTTTAATATGTTGATGCTTGAGCATATATTCTGCTTCTAAAACTTTCTTAAACTTACATTGATGAAACAGATTTCTTGCGTGTTAACAGGATAAATTTGCGAATCTGGAGGAAACTGTGTTGCGTTGCTATCGTACTCAACAGAGAGAGTCCTTGAGTGTAGGAGTCGAACTTGCGACCACGAAAGGCCGGCCGCAATACACTTTGTGGTCCTCCCGAAACAGAAGCAAGGTATACACCCTTCTGGCATTTCCGAGGAGAGTCCGAACGTCCCATCTTTACATTCATCACACCGTTTACCGATGACATTCGACTGGATATCAAATAAAAGAGGAAAGCACTAACATTAATTTTAAAGAAAAAGAAAGAAAATATGAGTAAAAAGGATACAAGGTATCCTGTTAAAATGATAAATTTAGGAGTGCATAAAATTTTTGAGATAAAGAAAGGAAGCATGGCGGACCTTAAATATGGCGTTCAGTTGGGTGATTTGGTGAAGAAAGTTTCAAGTAATTTAAAATTTAGCCGTACCCATTTCATATGAAATGTTGCTTTTCTTGTTTTCAACTTGGTTTTGTGTTTATTTTAGCTTTTACTATTATTTAAAAGATGAATAATATGCAAACAAGTGATGGAAAAAAAACCCCAAGCAAACTCTACAACCTGAACAAATTCTGATTTTTTATTTTTTCTTAAAAACCACTAGTTCCAAGTCTACTTGATTAGACTTTTGTTTGAACATTTCTAGAATTTAGCAAAAATTATCAGTTCAAAATGTCTTTAATTATGATGCAAATTACCTTGCAAGGACACTGGCCATGTTCGTCGCAATCACACTCCCTTCCTTGACAGTTGAGTGTGTCAACCCCGGGTTGGTGACAATTGCATGGGCGACACCGTGGGTAACCAAAGTAACCAGGAGAGCAGCGATTGCAATGAATCCCTTCGTAACCTTCCTGGCACAGACAGTGACCACTGGTCGAATTACACTGCAGGCTCAGAGATCCATGGCTGTCGCAATTGCATGGCTGCAAGGACGAAAATCCACCAATGAGTACATACTTCCAATTATCTATGCTTATTATATTGTTTACTACTGCACTGTTGAGCTAAGGAAAAATGTCATTCAAACATTTCCAATTATCTGTAGATAAAATAATATTTTTTGGACAGCTTACAAATATTTTACTTTACAATTTTAGGAGGCATTAAAAAAAATTATGAATAAAATTTTTTGAAAAATTTGCACTTTATGAAAAGAAACTTTCTATATCGTATCTCGAATATTTAGGTAAAAGGGTTTTCTCTCTCTCTCTTTCTAGAAGCACAACAGTTGACTTGTCTGTCTCTTACCTTGTAAAGAAATGAATAGAAGAAAAACATAATTTTGGAGCAAAATACTTCAGGGTGGCAAGTCAAGTTCAATTTCAAAATTCCCTGACTTTTCCCTGACTTTTCCCTGACTTTACAATAAAATTCCCTGACTTTTTGTAGGCAAGAGACCGCGACTTTTTCTGAATACGATTAAATTTCCTGACTTTTTAAAGTCATCGACGCGCAGTT